CATTTGATTTACACCTGTTCTATAGAATCCATATTTGATTTACACCTGTTCTATAGAATCCTCATTTGATTTACACCTGTTCTATAGAATCCACATTTGATTTACACCTGTTCTATAGAATCCGCATTTGATTTACACCTGTTCTATAGAATCCATATTTGGTTTACACCTGTTCCACTTCTTGTGTACGTTGTAGAGCAATAGGTCTAAAGTTTCCCCTTCACAGCAGTTAATGTTTTGGTGAGGAGCACGTTTAGGGGCTTGGTTGAACATATACTGTGTCGTGCACGTGTGCTCCATTATTATAATTTCATTTTCAATAATTTAGGAAATCGTCTTATTATTCTTACTAAATGTCAAAGTAAAATTTTCAATATATGAGTATATGAAGATGAAAAAACTATAATATACACATATCCAACAGTTTTATCATTTTTTTTTTACAGTTGAATCATAGGATGAAAACATAGCTGAAAAAATGGCACTATATATATTTGAAATAACAATATTTAAAAAGAACTGAATTCCACAAGTACTTAATCAATTTTACACTTTTCAATTTGACTTTAAAAAAGCATTCTACAATGAATCACCTAGAGATAGTGTAAACAACATGTAAATATTGAGAGGAAGTGAAACATAATTATCTTTTACATTCATAAGGAATTAAAGTTGAGAATCATAGAAGACAAATTTCTAGTATGAGAGCAATGCATTATTTTATTCTCACTCAATTGAAGACATTTATTTATAAAACCTTACATAATCATGACTTGTATAGATCTCAGTAACCACGAATTCAAAGTCAAAAATCTCTGAATGGCTTTTTTTTTTATCAATGAACTTTTTTCAAAGTACATTTTCATTCGTGCCCCAATTCTGGTCGTAACACAATAACACGTGACCTTAACATTCCAATTTTGTTCTTCATAGTTCCAAAGTATGATGTTTTCTAAAAACTTCGTACAATTGTCCTCAGACTGGTAACAAATTAGAACCTTCTAAACCCGTTAGAGCATTAATTCGATATTTTTGCATACTAAAAAGTTTGCAGGGTAGATACATTTAAATGAAAAATGATTTAAATCACATTTATTTGAAGATTTCCATCTTTTATAATGAAAAAGGCAAAGATAACGAACGGTGATCAATTAAAAAAATCAATACAGTTCTGTGAAAGGGTATAGAATGAGGACCCCTGGATATTCTAGAGGTGGGATCGGGTGCCTAGGAGGAGTAAGCATCCCCTGTTAACTGCTCACAATCGACATGAGCTCTACATGTATGTACTGATCAGGTAGACGGACGGAATGTTCCGTAGTCAAAGTTAGTATAAAAATCAGTATGAAATATATCATTTAAAATACGACTCAAAGATAGGTTGTATTGGCTAAACAGGTCAATACAACGACCAAGGAACTTGCAAAATGCTGACTTTAAACAAGGTTGATGAAATCCCTTTAACATCATATTATCTGTCAGTAGCCTTTATCGATCCTAGAATTGATCGTACTCAGGGCATGCTCATGAGTAGCAAATAAGTTGGGAGACGTAAACATCATATGAAGGTGATAGTGGAATATTATCACTAATTAGAAAAGCTGTATGAAGTCATCTCGTTTGTCATACAATTTAGTATTTCGGCCTTCATCATCTATAGTGAGTAAAACATCCAAAAATGAAACAAATATGGCAGATTCAAGTACACAACATTTATTTCTGTTCATTAATACACTCATCATAAGTTGTAGTCTTTTGAGGAAGCATACTGAATTCAATATATAAGCCGATATAATTTGACCAATTTTACCATTTTTTACTTTTTATTTGAAAAAAATATGATAAAATGAAAAAAAAGTAATGTCTGTAACCACTTGATATAATTTCGTTGTGATCATTTCCATTTAGGGGGCCGACTGGGGTTTTCATTGCGCAATACTTCGCGCAGCATAGTAAAATAAAGCGTATTTACAATTTTAAAGCAACTATTTTTACATAATTTATAAAAAAAATCAACATTTTTAGGAAATCCCAGGTTAAAAAATCTAATAACGTTTTTAAATAACCGATTTTTTTAACGATTTTTCAAATGACGGATAGATAGACGTCGTAATAGTGTGTTTTTGACGTAATGAATAACTGAAGTACTTTAAGCGGGGTCATTAATTATGCCATAAAATAAAAAGTATAAAATATAGGCTCTTGAAATTTTAATATAGGAAATTGAGAATCTCACAATCATTTTGATTATTTTTTTATGTAAATCTGTGGTATCTGTCATGTTTTTTACTCCGTAAAAACAGGAAAATATCATGAATTTTGACATTTTGAGATGTCCCCTCTGGAAACCAGACGGTAAAATTTTGTGTTACTTGCATAAAATGTACAATATAGTATTACCTATCAATTAATATAATTTGAGCAAAAAGTCTATAGTAGCATTTGTATAATTTGCTCCGAAGTGCGAAAAAATGGTATTTTCCTATATAATCCTACATTAAATGCACCTGTAATTTGAGATGGTCCCTAGAAAATAACCAGACGGTAGATTTTCACCAAACTTGGCATGTGTACTGAAGTCAATGTAAGGTACATATGGTATAAAATTAAAGAGTTTCTCTATAGCAGTTTTCACACAATAAAACCCAGTCGGCTCCCTTAAGTGGTTTTCCCCTTTCCACTTTGACGGTAAAATATGAATACATCAACAGAAAATTCCGTTGTTTTCTGATTTACAGCAACAAATATGGTTACAGACTCTACAAAACACATGCTCGGTCCGTAATCCTAAAATATTGTCTGATTTTGTTAAACAATCACGAGTATATGCATGGTTTTATATCAACCAACTGTTCTTAACAGTATGTTCTGAGTACGCGATAGAGGCAAGCAACTTACAAATAGGTTGATGTTATTGGTTTTCAACAATCTCGCACAAAGATGAAACTGCACCTTTGAATCAACTGAATGATCACTGAAATGCCTGGAAAGCTTTCAGAATGGCAGATCTCTACCACTCAGTCACCATTCAGTGAACTTTCAGTCACATTTCGGTTAACTGAATGGATGAATTTTATTTTGATGTTTAAAGTAAACATTTCGCGAAATCTATTGGTGGTCATAATGAACTTATTTATAAATACAACCTAAAGTTGGGTCATTTTTACCTGACATGTTTCACATTAATTGTAAGGCCATTGTCTGAATACCATTTTGAAATTTACCTGATCAATACACAGAGCTCACAGAGGGTGTAACTAGTCAATAGAGGATGCTCTCTGCTCGAAGACACCTGATCCCACCCCTGTTTTTTTCAGGCTATTCACGATTCGTAATTTTCACTTGGTTTATGCAGGCTGTCAGATCGCTTTAACTCGACTGATATACCGGGAGTATAAAAGGTAAATGTGTGGAACTTCTCAAACAGGATACACCATGTTGCCAATGAAATACTTATAAACCAAATGATTTAAAATTCTACTTACTTTTCATATCTATTCATAAATATACAATCTGCACCCAAACAGTCCGAGTTTCCTCATACAAAGTACCTCATAAGATCTAATCAAATCAATTCCAAAACTGACCTTTTCTCACTTTACTTGAAACTTATTTAGCTCTGGTTAACTTAATATAGAGGATATACACGCTTTATAGCATTTTAAAAAAAGGGGGGGGGGTTAAGGGATTTCTCCTGTATTCTTATTCTCTTTCAGCTTTCACAATTCTAACAGTGGCTTTCTTTTAATCAATCGGAAAAAATAAGATGTCTTCAAATGATCAAGATAACAAATACACAAAGTTTATTTAATTGGTTTGATTTCGTATGACTTTGATTTTGATTTCGTTTTGTTATGCTTTGTTTAATGACTTTGTTACTAAATGATTAGTTTTTGTCACTAACTTTAAAACTCCATTGTAAAAATCTACAATTTCCGCAAGTAGAAATACATTTCTTATATACATGTAAACATGTCCATTTTTTTTTATATAAATCGGTTCCGGACCTGTTAAATTTCTTTGCTTTTGTATACATGCATATACTTGCACAGATATCTCGTGAACCAATGATCTGGATTCTGAATAAGGAGTTCGTATCATTTAATTATTGATTCATGTAAAAAAAAAAAAACAACAATTGCTGCTGTTTTTTCAGTCAATAAGATGATTTAGCCACCTTCGAAGTACGATATTTGACCTCGCCATTCGGGCTCAAAAAACAGCAATAACTGTATAACATCCGTGACGCCTCTTGCAAATGTAGTAATGCAATTGGAGCAACATGCACACAAGTTTGAAAGAACATAGGGGTGCAACAGATTTTGAGTACATGTGTACTCAGTAGTATGCAATCGGCCGAGATGTTGAACGATCACTATACTCTGTATCTGAGTAGAAGAAAGACAACTCTGCCTTATGACAAACACAACAACTACTGCGAAGATGCATCATATCATACTTTTTTCCCTTCGTTATGCTGCTTGTATTTTGTCCGGTTCAATGTTAAGAACAATGTTCAAGTCGGTTTCAGAAGGGATTGATCAAAATGGAGTTTTCAATTGCATAGTTACATAATTAAAAAAATACAAGTCTGCATAGGTCGATCTCGTAACGATAGACGTCAGAAGAAAAAAAAAAATACACATCCAATTTATACTGCCTTTGATTTAAAATATTTAACATATATATATGCCTCTCGGGGCCCCTTGAATGGCAATAAATCATCTGTATCTGTATCTGTATATTCCAACCAAAAGCAAGAACACATTTATACTAGGTCACCGAATATCTTCTTTTAGATGATTCATCTTGTTTATGGTCACAGTTGTAATCTATTTATAGGTTATGGAATTCCCCTTTTGAAATACTTTCGTTTTGAAGAAATGCGTCTCATTTTCTCCGAAATGTAGTTAACCTACTTTTTTCCGTCGAAAAACAGAATGCAGCAATAAAAATTGACAGAGAAAACGGCATATCGCATGAAAACTCAAACTCTGTCGTGATAATGAACTGGTTTAATTTTTAACCAAACCAACAGTGGTGTAAACTCTTAAACACAATATACAGAGTACTACTCACAAAAAAAAAAAAAATATTTCTATCAAAAACACAATCGTACAAATGAGCAACTACAATAAAAATACTGAAAATACAAAATAGTTTTACTAATTTGCTAACTAACTAAGATTATGATTGAATAAATGATTTACACTGGTTGCTACGAGTCACCGGTTTCACAAAAATTGCAATATGTCAATTATTATTTTTTCAAAATATGGCACAAAACATGAAAAGAAAAAAATGATTACTTTTGGTCATGAAAAACAGTCACTCTGTAACACAGCCAGACGCACAATTACTTCTCCTCCTCCTCGGCCAAGGGTGGGGCCATGATGGTCAGTCGACCCTGAGGGTCACGGCAAACTTGGACCTGGCTGCAATCCATGTCCTCGGGTACGGTAAACTCCCGACAGAAGCTACGCCTCACTCTGATCCCGTCCTCCTCCCGGTCGTGGTCCGCGCTAACGGAAATGACGTTGCCCTTCCGTTTGACGTTAATGTGATCGGGTTCGAACACGGACAGGTCAAGATTCTCCTTAAATGCTTGTCCTGCCTCTGCCACCTGCATTTCTTCATCTTTGCCCTCGGTGATGGCCGGCACGTCTTGAACCTTCAGTTCTACTTCGCGCTCCTCCTCCCTCGGGAGAAAAGGGGCCTCGACGACGTAATGATTGTCGTGGTCCATGAAGCAATGCAACTTGCTTTGGTCCACCCCCTGGGGGATTCTGAGGGTCCGCCTGGACTCCCTGACATCCTTGTTATCCTCGTCCCCCCGCTCGTGTCTGGCGTTGATCTGCACCATACCATCCTGCACGGACACCTTCACTTCGTCGGGGTGATATCCGTCCATTCGGAATGACTTGTGCCATTTTTCTGGGGCCTCCCTTCTCCGGGGTTGTTGATACGCAATTGGCATACCCAGCTCATCATGTAGCATGTACGTAAGGAGATCTCTAAACGGTGTGCCCTGCTGATATCCCCCAGGACGATACATAGAAATCGGCATAAAATCCATTCTTCTCCTATAACTGCCTTGGTCCAGGTAAAATGATTACAAACAACGCTGTCCCGCAGTTTTATTCAGTGTTATTTTTTCTTCCGGTGAAAAACAACAAGCTTGCAGCTCGATAGAATTTTCTGGAGGGGTGAAGGACAGACTGGGGGTATAACCCTAAACTCGCAATCTGATTGGCTGGTTTTATGAGAGAAATATATTTAGATGAGTGTCTACGTGACTGTGTAATAAGGAGTTATCTCGCATTTTCTATTTGTTTTTCTGAAGTACAAATCATTATCAACATTTACCTATCATTTCATAAATAAAAAAATTCAAGGCTAGGGCCCCGATTTACTTTACGACTAAGACCAAAATATGTTTTGGCGAATTAATATTGTTTTCTTCTTTACATGATCTAAAATAGGAAAACATTCTTTTTAATTTGCAAAGGTGTTTTAGGTCGCAATTTTAGTTTTAAAATGTTAGAATGAACTAAAATTGTTAGTGAGTAAAGTGAATTATTTATGTCCAATTGTTGGTGTTAGTACTAAATCTTATTGTTAAATGCAAGTTCTTTAATTATATTTTGTAATGTGTAATGGAATTTTGAGCTTGAATACTGTTCGTTATCTCCATATATTTCATCCATTAAAACAGCGGCTAATATATGTAGTTTATTCATGATTACAATTTTTTGAAAATGCACTTTTAAGGAAAATGTTATATTTTTTCATCTTCGAGCTTGCTTTTACAATTTATTTCAAAGACCCAGTTCGCAAGCCATCAAGAAGCAATTTCATTTTGGGGGAGGGGGTGACCTAACAGAAATTCTAGGCAAATCCAAAGAATAAATAATCCAATAGATATTTCAAAAAGAAAAAATTAAGTTCATTAGATATTATTCTTAATGGGACAAATGTTTAATTGATTTCTACTGTGTAGTATATAAGTGCGAAATAACCCCCCCCCCCTTCCCCCATTCGTACCTACGTACACAACTGTACCCGATACCGTTTAATTATACCCAAAATAAATTTATTGACTACTATATTTTTTTAACTTCGAACTTTAGTCGAATGGATTTAATTCAAGTATTTTACTTTGTCAACAAACTCGAAAATTTAAATGAATAAATGAGAGTTAGAAATAAAAGATTGCTGTAATTTTTGATACTGGTGAAGCATAGTTGAAGATATCGAACATTAATTTTATTCCCGTCATCATTTTACAATCCTATAAAAAGATTGAAAAAAAATACGATTTATTAAAATTTATCAGGGATCAACACTAACTTTTAAACCATAGTCGCCCGTCGGGCTAGCAATTTCTAATTTCTACTAGCCCTGATTATGAATTAGTTGTCCAGCAGCCAAAGGCTGCTGGCCTAGACACGAAGCGACGAGGGTTTGGCGCGGGAGGGGGTTTCCCCCTCTTGCTGGTGGGGGTATGGGGCCTCCCCCGGAAAATTTTAAAAATACAGGATGCCAGATCTTGCATTCTGGCTATATTTTTGGGTAAAATTATATGTCATTTCATAACGGAACCAAAGACGTTTATGCCAAATTTACAGTCATTTAGGGTATTCTGAAGCACCTTTTACATTTTGAATGCAAACGATCTGATTAGAAAATTATAACTGGTTATTTAGTATTAAAGAAAAGTCAGGTATATGAGAAATCAGATCTATATTACAAGGCAAGTCCATCTTTGATACAGTGAACTTAAAATTAAAGGAGTAATATTTTTACCTATTTTAGTGAACATGTATTGCGGGTCACTTGGACACTTGTATTTTGTATCACAAAGAAAACGGGCAGAAAACGACAAGAAAATAACATTATAATTATTTTTTTATTTGGTATTGTTTAAGAAAATCTCCAAAAATAAAAAGAATTATCTGACCAGGTCTGCACCATGCAGACACCAGTTCAAATAAATGCATTATAAACTATGTCGTTTTCTTTTTAATTATTATGGAAATGTTTATCCCCCCCCCCCACACACACACACACAAAATGTTTGAAAGCAAGTACCTCAAAATTGAACTGAACAAATACTGAGTATATCACATGAGTTAACAATATCAAAATTTGTCACATTTTACAATCTGAAGTTCTCCAAACATTTGGTGATCGAATATATATAGACAATAAGCCAAATAAAATTGATTCTTTTTTTAAAAAAAAGGCTTATATCATTAAATGGTTTAGGTTTATTTAATTACATGTACCTATTTGAAATCATGACTTCAAGTAAGAGGGACATTTCTTTACGGGTTCAACACAAATTTAAAATTAACTTTTTTAAAAAAAAAAAAAATCTATTTGTTTTTAATTGAGAGCAACGTGTTTATAAAAAATGTAAAGTTGTATAGCTAAAATCAACGAGAGAGAGAGAGAGAGAGAGAGAGAGTCGGTAAACTTTAATGAAATCGAAATCGCAAAACTTTTTGCAATACAGCAAGGACAGGAGAACATTTACCCTAGACATACCACCGTCATAATCTCACGAATATTTCTTCTGTATTGCCCGGAATTTTTTAATCTCCGGAAAAAAATTACAGAAAATGCAATTAACCTTCATAGTGGCAACTTTTTTTTGCACAAGTGCATCTGATACTTGACTTAATTCAATAATAGGGTCTTATTATGTACAGTTAAGTGCCTTTTATATCTTTATTTATCCAAAAACTCCCGAAGCGATCCGAACACATTTGAATTTTGAACTTTCTTGTCCACGTGTAATCCGATCTAAAGAGCCATTAGGAGACATTTTTTATGACACCAATTGTGAGCCCTAGAGAATTTTTCTCACTCCATCACCGCCCCCATCCTTCAAATTTATCATTAGTGTTAGACATTAATTTCTCTAATGGCACTTACTCCCCGAGGCCCCACCGACACAGTACGAGTACCCAATGACGAGGTATCGTCAAAGTCGATATATATATATGTATAAGATCAAGATGCAACATAACTCAATATTTTGATGACCCTAAAATACAAGGTGCTCTCTTCTGTTTGAGGATTATAAATCTCCTGTGCTCCTAACTCCATTTTAGAAAATTTGTCGGATTCCTCAAGGTAGGTAGTTTGTACTTGCTCTTTATTTTTAAGACATTCTTTGTGATTGTTTTTCTTCCTATAAAGCATTGATTTTATAAATGCATCTGTCAAATTCTGTAATCTTAAAAGCTTGATAATTCCATAACAGTGCGGCACTCTATTACACTAACGACATTTCATGCATATGTAGATCTACCTGTTTACAAACTGATCGGGGGGGGGGGGGATACATGGTACCACTTTGATGGAATGGGGGAAGGGTGGACTATTGGCATATAGCATACATGTACATGTACTACCCAATGTTAAGGGGAAAATATATTTATCGTTTGTTTTTAGAGTTATATAATGATACGTTAAAAATAAAATGTGTCTGTTGGATACAAAATTTAGGTGCTCTGCTGAAATTTGGAAAAGGAACAATTTTATCGTAGATCTAGCTGTAATTCTATTATCAACATATTTTACAAAATAAAACTCACAAATATCTTTGCCTTGTCTTTGCGTGGATCCAAGAAGTATTTGAAACGTGGGGCGAAATCCTTCAAACAAATGGGGAATTTACAAGCGCACTATATGACGATGAAAACTTTGGGGATGGGAGGGGGGGGGGTGAAATAAAGTGCAAACCTGTATTTGTCATAGATATAAAGAGTTTTTAATTTACTTTGTGGATCGAAAACAATTTTAAATTTATGTAGCATACAAGATACAAATTAAGTATTTTATTTCTAAAAATCATTGTCCAAAAAAGCCAAATAAAATATATAAAATTTAATCATTAGTGCCCTCACAGATTAAAATTACAGAAAGCCTAAGGTACAATGAAATTTTTGCATAATAAAGATATCATTTTTAAAATAAAAATAGAAGAGGGTAGGACTATACCCCACCCAACCACCCGCCAGCTCCCCCTGGATCCGCGCACGCATTTTCTCCTGTTAGGGCACTTTTAAAGTGTAGAACTTTTAAGTTCAATAAACCCATCAAGATTGTGCGACAAATGAGAATTTCGTAATCGAAACGCCATTTTCAAACAATAAAAGTAGCGTGTATGAGTGTCATAAATTGCGGTCCTTGGCGATATTGAGCCCGTGAAGGAGATGTAGAGAGCGCCATTGATGGTCTAAGTCAACAGAAAATCGGCCGTAGCCCGGTAGTAAAGCGAAATACAGAAAATTTAACCATCCGACTAACCCGATCCGGGGCTGATTCTGAAAGTTTGCAAATCGCATAAGCATTAGAAGTGACTTTTTATTGACTCTGTTTCTCCGAGAGAAGATCGCAATGGCTATATAACTAACATATTACTTAACCAAGGGAAATTAAGTAACAAAGGAATAACAGGCTTTTAAAGAGAGTAAACATTGTTTGACCAGAAAGCACGGGTATTTCAGCGAGTTTATTTCCCTTTTTGTATTATTTGTGATTTAATTACTGCTATGAAAATATTTGCTTTGTGAGCGAGATACGAGTGTGATGAGATATGTCTATGTTAAATCTAAATCTGAAGGGAAACGCTTAGTGTTTGATCTGTGGCAATGAAGGTAAACTCCCTTTATCATTACTTTCGGTCAATTATCTTTAATTATAAGTACTTCATATTTCAATCAATTTTACACTCGTTATTATGTTTTTATGAGTGGGGGTGGATGGAGGGGGGGATTAAATCGATTGAATTGTATAAGAAAAAGAAGTTAAATTTCTGGGTCCCGATCTACAGAACTTCGACTAAGACCTAAATGTAATTTTGCAAATAAAATTCTTTTTTACATTCATTTCAAAATGGTTTTTCTGGTTTTCAAACAGAGAGGTATTTTTATGCAAGCAGTTATTAACAGAATCATTGATTTTGAGAGATTTTACAATAAACTAAAATTTTTGGTTTTAGTCTCAGGTTCTTTTGTTAAACTGGTGCGTATTCTTTAAGTTAGTTGATGGTTATCTGGAAACAGCACATTGGGTTCTCCCTAGTCAGATAAAATAAAGTCAAGAAAAAAAAAGTAATTATACTGGGTCGATTGCGTAATGTTAGACGCAGGCAGGTGGCATTAAACTGAACAGAAGTGTGGCGTAGACCGGATATCCGACATACTGAATAGATGTCAAGATAACGCATAGATCTCGCAAGGTCCGAGAGAACACGAGAAGCAGCACTTCCTTCAAGTTTCCAATTCTTTTTTACACGCTTAGTTACAAAATGAAAGCCCACAACATTGGCATGTTATTTTTTCACGATATTTCCGCATTTACAGGCACAGCAGGGGTCCATTTCTAGATCTGAAAAATAGAACCAACATTTTTTGACATTCTGCTTTGGATTTGGTCAAGATTGTGGTTCCAGAGGTCAGCGATTGCTGCATTTACACTTGGTTACAAGGATTTATACCTCCTCCCCAAACCAACGACAGCAAGAAGAACAGGACCCTCAATATGGCTGTCACGGTGTCCTCCCCGCGGCGACCTTCCAGGTAAGACACGAGATCACCTAAAAGTGTCCTTAAGGGGAGTGGGGTGGCGTGGGGGGGGGGGGGAGGGAGTAATAGTTAGATTACTACAATGCTGTCGTTTTAATTTAATTATTTTTATTTGAAAATCAAAATTAGTTTCATTTTTATTTATTATTTATTTTACTTATTTTAATTTTCAAATAAAAATCAGTAGACGACAATGCATATAAGTATAATTACTGAATATTTCACTCCAGGCAATTTTTATTATTTATTTTTTAAGTCACAACCAAGGTCTTTTAGTTTTTTTTTTCAGGTTTTATGCATTCACTCAACATTACGTATAAATAAATGTACTATATATGAATTTAATACCAATGAAAAATCAATAGTTACTTGTAACGAATCATCTTAACAGAGATTAGAAACATTTCATAGAAAAAAAATCATCAGGCGCCGATATCCTCTAAGTACATACATTACTATCGGTGTGAATTTATAATTGAATTCATTATTTGCTTCATTCGTATATAAATGGACAATTTCCACAACATGCAAAGCTTAGGATTAATACCATCCAGCAAATTAAATACACATCTATTACACATTTTCTGAAAGAATTAAACATCTCTTAAAAGAGTATCCGTATTATTTAGTAAAGGCCATGGGGGTGTTTAACCAAGGAGAGACGTGAAATAGGTACCATTGAATAAGTCCAACGGAGTAAATATCATCTCCTAATCGTAAAAAAAGGTTAAAAAGATTGTACATTATAATAAATGTTTACATGACGTGATGGAAATTAAGAAGAACAGATGAGGAAGTACAGAGACTAAATAAAAAGGAGAGAAAGAAAGAGAGAGAGAGAGAAAGAGGAAATACAGAGGCTAAATAAAAAGGAGAGAGAGAGAGAGAGAGAAAGAGAGGAAATACAGAGGCTAAATAAAAAGGAGAGAAAGAGAGAGACAGAAAGAAAGAGAGGAAATACAGAGGCTAAATAAAAAGGAGAGAGAGAGAGAAGAATTACAGAGGCTAAATAAAAAGGAGAGAGAGAGAAGAATTACAGAGGTTAAATAAAAAGGAGAGAGAGAGAGAGCATAGTGCTTATATCTGTGTAAGAAATATATGTATTGGGTTTGCACTCACTAGTATAGGTGTCATTTATTCTCCTAAAAAACATAACAATAAGGGGGAAAAAATGTTAAAGACTGGCAGAAGTTTCTGATGTTTGATTCTCTTTTTACCCGAATAAAATCAAACTGATTGCATTATTGAAAATGGGAAAAAGTAAATTTCTACATTGTTTCGCATTAGCTAAGTGAATCATAGATGTTTAAAATCATTTGTATACTGGGCGTGTTTGACCTTCATGTACTTCATAACAATGGCCCAGTCCAATTAATCTCCTCGTGTTGACACTTGCTAATGATTCTGTTAATTTTTTCTGAGTTATCACCTGATTTTATACAATTCTAAGGTGTGATAAAACTGTAAGTAATAATTCTTGCTTTATGGTGCTGTACTGAACGACAGGTGCGCGCAGATAAAATCCCGCCGTTTATCGAACTGGGAGGAAAATGATGTAATTCTGAAATGAAGGCATCCATTTAAAGATTAAAACATCTCGAGTTTTTGTATATTTGCTAACGAGAACTTCAAAAACCCAACTTATGTTCGATAATCAACAGGACACTTAGAATGAGTTCTGCTTTAATGGCCAAACTTGCGTGTGTCGCTAATTACATCTTGAGACTCATTTTCCCCTTCAGTGAATTTTTTTCCGAGAATTTCCTTTAAGTTCCTGGACTCTTCTCGTGACTGGTTAAAGTTAGTCAAGATTCCGGGATCCTAAAACAGCAGAACTGTGAACAGAAAATCAGGTGACGAAGTCAACTTACAAAGCTGGAGGAGATACATAGATAACGGGGGTCAACAAAATTTTCTAAAACTCAGAATTATAATTAGAAAGTTGTCATGGTAGCGGAATGTTCCGGTCTCTCGTATCGTAATTATCCCCCTTGCTTCCGGTGTCAAAATAAGGAATTCGTGAAACCCATCAAATTGAATGCATTTCGCGCAGGGTAAGTTAAATTCACACCAGTAGGGTCTTCTCTCTCTCTCTCTCTCTCTCTCTCTTAGTTGCAGAACTGTACCTCTCTGGTTGAGAAAATTTTCAACCAAAGAGCTACTGTTCTGCAACTATGATTCTCTCTCTCTCCCTTCAAAGCACCTTTAATATGCATCAGTGAATGAGTGCATGGTTGTAAAACGCCTGTATTTTTTTCTTTTTAAGACATGATTATATTTGGCCTATAAAATGGATGTTTATTGCATTGTGCATCTTATATATTACTTGGGTATTGCTCTCAGTAAATATCTTTCACTATAAATGTGATAATTTTTGTCCCGCATAAGAAACGCCCTCTTCCTTAGCTTCTTGTTTTCGTAGTTTTTTTTTTTTTATTAAAGTAAGGTGGGGGTTGGTGTCGGAGGATGAGGTACAGGAACTTGTTTTGTATGTAGGACAACCCCAATTTTTCTTTCCACAGCCACTTTAACAGGGACTTCCGAATTTTTCATTCTGAAGTCTCTGGTTTTATCCTATGTCTTGTTAAAGTAGGTTAATGATTGATAAGTTAACAAGTAGAGCTTTTTCAAAAAGCTTAATACCGTCTTTACCAACAACCTTTAACAGTAAATTAAACTGACCTAAACCTATCAGGCCGTATAATTCTTGAAATTTCTTGGCTTTGTACTTCTTCATTAGTTTTTTCTGACATAAGCTCTACCAAGTGAAACGTTAACAGATGCTCGGCAGTCTACGTAAACTTCGACTCTGCTGCTGAAATCATTCGGCAAACCTCGGCTGATTCCGTCACATTTGTGATATGTAGATGAGGTACGAATCCGAGTGCTGCCGAGATTAGAAAGACAGTGCAAAACAAAGGGAAAAAAGAATACATACAAGCTGTAAAGCTTGCATACAATAAAGATCAATTTTGTTAACAATGAAAATATGGACACGTTTTTGGTAATTGCTATAAAAAAAAACTAGCATGTTAAATCTAATTAATTAGTGCCAATATCCACTGTTCGTTTTGTCATATTTTTTTACGATTGAAAATCTTGAAAAATTGTTAAGTCTTTCGAAAATTAGATCATCAGAAAATTATCTTGCCTTGAACAGCATTTCAACCAATGAAATAATCGAAAATTTTCTCATCATGCAATTTCTACCAATCACAAAAGAAAGGAAGTGCATAGTCCGAAGACTCTAAAATACTTCAACTCTGTATACCGTCTTCCAAGGAAGACGGTAAACGCGGTTTGAAGTTGGCGTCTGAACTGAGTTAGATACCTTGTGGAAAGAAAAAGTAGGGGTGCCCAGTATACGAAACAAGAACGTGTGGGTTAAGATGTCGAAGGATTGGTAGGGTGAGGGACATTTTCTTTTTTTGTCTTGGATTTGAAATTTACCGGGTGACAGTAATTATATATAAAATCTACATGACAATTTCCTAATATGTATTCCTGACCATTTCTGCCGAAATGTTTCCATTATATGTTGAACAAAATCCCAAATATTATTGTCTTTTCCACGGTGGCATTAAAACAAATGAGGGGACTGTAATTATTTCCTTTTTTTGTTTATTGACCTCGAATTTTAGGTTAAAATATATTACATAGACTTAATGCAAGGGTGAACTTGTATTCGTTGAGAAGCTCTTCCCTTCTCTCTCTCTCTCTCTCTCTCTCTCTCTCTCTCTCTCTCTCTCTCTCTCTCTCTCTCTCCAGCACCAGAGATACTAGATATAAAGTGGACTAACTACATGTAGTTAATGATACAAATCTTGAATGCAGGAAGCGGAAATGAGATGAGAACATGAATCTTCCTGATGTGTTCTGATTTGTGTGAAGTATTACGAGATTCGACGATTTCTGATGGAGAATCGATCAAGAAAAAAAGGACTTATTACGTCACTTCTTTTATTTCTGTTCTTCTACTTCATTAACAAGAACATCTCTAGAAGCGATTTATGATAAATAGATTCCGTAATCATCCGTATCTGTAATTATTTCCGGAATTCAAACCCGTTCTTCGTTATTTAATGCGAGCCTTGGTCTCTAGAATTTATTCTGCTACATTAATTTTGCGAATAAATCAACGTTTTCAGATTACGCAGTGATAAAGAAAATTCGACGATTTATTTTTATTACGATAAACTCTCAACAGATTCTGATAAGGAACAATAAGTTAAGTCTCCTGGGATTATACCCATATGTGAAGAATCATTGTGTGTGTTGAAACAGTTAAAAAAGAAAAAAAACTACACTGACACTGTCGAGTTTACCGTGTCTGTTACCTGATCGTAGTTAAGAATGAACGACATTTCTGCTGATTGATAAATTGAATTGAGTTGCGCCAGATTAAGATCATTGCCCCCCCCCCCCCCCAAAAAAAAAATCTTAAAAATCTTGAATCTTGCTACCAGATTCATGTTTAGATAATAAAAAATAACCACATAAGTTTATTTTTATTTTATTTTATTCTTTTTTTCAAGATTTTCCGCTATCGTACCATAGAATGATTTAAACTCCATAGACTTGTAAGGCGAGTGGCAAAAAAGTGCTAATTTTGAAATCTAGTTTCTTAATATTTCAGGAATTTGATACTTGCATATTATGTACAACCAAAATTGGTTAAAAAATATATCCTATAATGTACACATCTATTTTTTTTTAATTTGTAGTAAGAATCTTGAAAAGGGGAAAAGCTCAAGTCGACTTTATATGTCAACATTGTGTATTGTGTGTGTGTGGGGGGGGGGGGGGGGGAGGTATGCAGTGGAGGGGGTAAACTGCTTAGTAAGAGTATTCTACTGGAATGTTTCGAAAGCTCTCTTGTTTCGTTAAACGTTTGCCTTGATTTATCCATATGACATGACATTGGTATTTTGGTATTTTAAATAATATCTTGATTCAAATTCCAATATATATATATATATATATATATATATATA